ACGAATTTATTCTCGTAATGTTACAACTTTATTCTCGTAGACCTAATATTACGACTTCTTTCTGGTAATTTCCAAAAAATATATATATTTTTCTCTTAGTATGGCCCTAATACTCCGTCGTGTGAATTCATATATTTAAGAATTTCTTAAACCCAAGACTCCATGGTTGTTGTTGTTTTTAGTTTTTTTTAATGGCTGCACCATTTGTTTGTCCATTATTTTAATCTGTCATATTTAGTTATCTTTGGAAATGTTGGGACCACTAGCCTAGAAATTAAGATGAAGTTATGTGAGTGTGAATGAAGCGTTATTAAATACAACAAATAGTTTGGGGTTATTCAGGTTATCTCTAACCAGTTGTCTTTAATATGTACATAACATTCATATCATTAAAAACAATTCATAAGCAGATAAATGCGCAATAAGTGAAAAAAAAAGTCGCAGTGAAAGGGTTCGGTATTTGAACAATAATTTAATAGATTAAACTCTTCTACTATTTAATTTTACTTTCATTATCCAATAAACTGCTAAGTACATCCTTTATTGTGCTTTTCTTGGTCCTTCCTCTGAACCTTAGCTGGTGCCTCATATAATCCAGGATCACGCGTGGCCACACAGTAGTCTGCGCTTCATCCTTCATGAGAAATGCAGAGTCCACTTGTTGGGGGAAGGTATGGCCATCCCTGGATCCAAATGCAAAGTCTCCTCCGGGTCTACCATCGGCTTCCAAAGGACTGGAGATGAGGTGTGGTGGGTAACTATCCAAAAAATCCTATGAACATGTAAGCAATTATTGTTTCCTTTTGATGTTATGTTATTAAAGTATATTTTAGGAATATCAATAGCAATATTTGACCATTTGCTGCAAAATAAATTGAAACTTTGTACAAATTAAAGCAGAAAACCATATATACTAACCTGCATGAAAGGTGAAATGCAAATAAAGTCTGATTAAGTAATTGATTGATAATGATATACTGCATATTGATTTCCATTAAGGTTATTAGCAGAAATAATGGAAATAATGAACTGAATCTGTTTCCAATGCTGAAATCCTGAAACAGGGTATTATTGTTATTGCATGCTTTAGTTTCATTATTTCATTAGACATTAAAATGCCAAACTGTATAAACTTATGTGTGTTATGCTCCATTTGAATAAGAAATCTGAATACGTTCACCTCTATCAACGTTTTTTATACTAAATATATTTCGAATGTTTGTTAAAAATTAGAGATTTACCATTTAAAATGTTGACAAACATGGAAAATGCATGTCCAAATACAATCTGTTGTTGTTGCAAAATGCAAAATAAACTCATACATTTAAAAATAAACTTTTAAGTTGTACCTTACCTCATGGTGGTCTTGAGTTTCTCTTGAATCCAGCAGCACAAATAAAGATACAGTCAAGAATATCAAGAAAGATGATCTCAGCACAGAGGAGTATGACAGCAGTGATCCAGGCATCTTTTCTTATAGCTGCATCGGTCAGTATCCAGAGAGAGTTCAAATAAGTCTAATGTTTTATAATGCAGCACACAAAAGCAAACTTCCAAGTTTCCCTGCAGAAAAACCCCTTTACAGGTTCTTTTGCTTCAAGGATTAATTTATTCGATGTAACGTCACAACCCACGTCCATTTGCCTTGGTGTCACTATATTTATTCCTTGCATGGAACAAACCTAAAGAGACACACTAGCCGACAATAGTCCCACGCATGCCATAATCCAACCTACACACAGCTACCTTCTATGTGGAGTTTTAAAGAGTTTATTCAGCTTAAATATGAATTATGTTTTCTTCCAAACAGCAGGTGACGTGATTAAAGGTTCATTAAATGGAGGAACTGAAAAGACAGGCAGCTTGTTAGGAAGGGTTGAAAGGACCAAATGAAGCAACTGGAGGAAGTCTTAATGAACCACCATTACACCCAAAGGTGGGCAACTTCTTATAGGCCAGTGAAACAGCTGTGAAATGAGCAGTATTAATAATATATAAACCCTTGTAAATGGGGAAAACAGTTAATTATGATGTTGTATTTTACTGTAAGCTTTAATTATATATATATATATATATATATATATATATATATATATGTATATATCTGTATGTGTATGTACTGGTATGAGCTGTCAGCTGTAT